ATAGATAGATAGATAGATAGATAGATAGATAGATAGATAGATAGATATAGATATAGATATAGATATAGATATAGATATAGATATAGATATAGATATAGATATAGATATAGATAGATAAATGGTATTTAGGTTTCTTCGGGTATTTTCCCACATCTTAATATTTGTGCTTTTATTATAGCGACATTTCGGCAAAATCTCATCTGCCATCCTCAGGCTTGTGTATTGGGTTCTTTTTAATCATGTGTGTCAGGCTTGGCAGCCATTTTTTGTTTGAATTTGATGCTGGCTTTCTGCTTTATTTGAATGTTTTTTTCCTCATCTTGACTGGCTGGGAGTCTAGGTCTGTTTTTATTGGTCTTCGAGTTGCTGTGTTCTTGATTGGTTGGCAACATTGTGTTTTGTGCATTGGGGTTTCTTAGTGCAGCTTGGTTTCTTGTGAATCGGCCATTCACAAGATGAGGAAAAAACCATTCAAATAAAGTAGAAAGCCAACACCGAATTCAAACTAAAAATGGCTGCTAAGCCTGACACACAAGATTAAAAAGAACCCAACACACAAGCCTGAGGATAGCATATGAGATTATGTCAAAACATCGCTATAATAAAAGCACAAATATTAAGTCGTGGGAAAATACCCGAAGAAACCTAAATACCATACATATAAATATCTGCGAAAACATAAGAAAACGTATGTGTGTGTGTGTGTTCCTAGTCAACTTTGTATATGTTTTCTTACTACCTGGGTTGTTACACGTGAACTGCAAGGTAAACAAAACTTGGCAACTCTTTTTCCAAGAGAGGTTTCAGACAGAAGTGATGCTGTTTTTCTCTTGCTAAGGGAAATGAATTTTCTGTCTCTTTTTTCTTTAGAGAGCTGATATAGGCATTTCTGCATTAACGATTACACCAGATCGGGAAAATGTGGTTGACTTTACAACTCGCTACATGGACTACTCAGTGGGAGTCTTGCTGCAAAAGGCTGAAAAGACCATGGACATGTTTGCTTGTTTGGCACCGTTTGACCTCTCCCTCTGGGCTTGCATCGCTGGCACAGTACTGCTCGTCGGACTCTTGGTGTATCTTCTCAACTGGCTTAACCCTCCACGGCTTCAGATGGGATCGATGACCTCCACAACACTCTACAACTCCATGTGGTTTGTGTACGGATCCTTTGTGCAGCAAGGTAAGAAATGTATATGAATCTCATGATGCAGTTGGTGGAATGCAGGTAGACCTTGGCTTACATTAGTTGGTTTACAATGGCACTGAAAAAAGCCATATACATTGCAGCATTCCCATGGACATGTGATCAAAATTCTGACACTTTTTTTTAGGGCAAGTTTTTTTATTTATATATAAACATTTTGAATACAGTGTATTGTCTGGGCATACCATTTTACAAAGGAAAAGGAAAGAAAAACAGAAATAGTAACATATATGTTAATAACAATAGTAGTTGTTGTTGTTAGTTGCAAAGTCATGTCTGAGACCCATCGCGACCCCATGGACAATGTTCCTCCAGGCCTTCCTGTCCTTTACCATCTTCTGGAGTCCATTTAAGCTCACACCGACTCCGCTGCTTCAGTGACTCCATCCAGCCACCTCATTCTCTCTCGTCCCCTTCTTCCATTGCTCTCAATCATTCCCAGAATTAGACTCTTCTCCATTGAGTCCTTCCTTCTCATTAGGTAGCCAAAATATTTGAGTTTCATCTTCAGGATCTGGCCTTCCAAAGAGCAGTCAGGGTGGATCCCCTCTAGGACTGACTGGTTTGATTGCCTTGCAGACCAAGGGATTCCCAGGAGTCTTCTCCAGCACCAGAGTTCAAAGGCCTCCATTCTTTGGTGCTCAGCCTTTCTTATGGTCCAGTTTTCACAGCCATACATAGTAACTGGGATAGTAGTGGTAGTACAACAGAATGATTTAATCTTATTTATAATTAAGCTAGCATATTTGTGATACTATTGATTATATTAGCATACTTATAGTTATACACAATGTTTATGTTTAATTTGTACTGTATATAGCAATACTCTTTCTTCATCTAATTTCTACCTCTTATTTTTAACCACTGATAGAATCTATTCCACGTTAAATAATACTCTGTATCTCCTTTATCTTTTATTTTCAATGTCAATCTATCTGCACAATCCAATATTTTTTGTATTATATTTTCATCTGGTGGAGTTTTCTCATTTTCCAATATTGTGCAAATACAATTCTTGCTGCGTTTAATGCATGTAAAATTAAATATATAGTCCCTTTATCATAACTTTCTGGTATTATACCTAACAAAACTATTGCTGGTTTCAAATCTATATGCTGTTTGATTACCTTTTCCAACCATGTGTGTATTTTTGTCCAGTATTTTCTTGCTTTCATACATGTCCACCACATATGATAATAAGTACTGGGGTGTGTGGTAGACATATTCTTAATTTTTTTTTGCTAGTCTTGCCGGTGGCAAGTGGCCACCTAGAAAACAGATTCTGACACTTGGCAACTGATTCATATTTGTGATGGTTGCAGTGTCCTAGAATCATGTAATTGCCTTTTGCAACCTTCTGACAAACAAAGGCAATGTGGAAACTAGATTTACTACACAACCATGTTACTAACTTAACAGCTGCAGTGATTCATTTAACAACTGGAGCAAGAAAAGTTGTAAAATGGAGCAAAACTCACTTAATAAATATCTCACTTAACAACAGAAATTTTGGGCCCAATTGTGATCGTAGGTATATATACATATACATATACATATACATATACATATACATATACATATACATATATATATATATATATATCTTTTGAATTAATGTAAATATATAGTGTATTAATATTCTAAAAATATACTATGAAAACAGCTAGCAAATTCTCATTTTGACAAGGGACATAACTCACAAGGACATGTCTTGGAAAAGGAGAAATGAGGGAGCAAATTGTGTGAGAAATGCTTGTGATTCATCCTTAAATGCTTCTTGAAAGTGAGGATGGATAAGCTGGAAGAATTATTAGTCTTCCCATAATAGTAAACAAGAGAAAGAAATAGACCCCAATAAGAAAGAAGTATAGGAAACAGAAAGAAAAATAGTGATCAGTAAACAGGAAAATGCTACAGAAAGAAAAAAGAGTAGAAGATAATAAAGAATGAAAACAGCTAGATATCAGAGACAAGTTAGTGCAGATCTGACATCCTTAAAGACAGAAAATGGGGTAATAAAACTCTATGTGGACTGAAAAAAAAATTGAGATTTTAATCCATAGTAATCACTAATACTAGATAGGGCTCCATCTAACTTTTGATCTCTCGTGGCAGGAATTGAACATTTCCTAGCAGTCTTAAGGAGCAAGCACCAGCTCTTTGATCTTCAAAAAAAGCCAACAGCTGGAAAGGATATCAGAACAAAGACAGTTAAATACCCCAAACAAATAGGAAAAATAAGGTCATGGTGTAGAAAAAAATAATACCTAGCTAGATAAATAGGGAAGGGAAAATTCTAAGAAAAAGAGATATGTATACCAGCAGTTAACTATAGAAACTGTTAGAGAATGGATATTGAACTGTATTTGACTACAAAACCCCAGAAACACTAGATAGCGGCAAATAGACATAGAAAACTTTAATTACCCCATATGAAGTTAGTTCACAATTTGGATGTTTTGAATTTGCAACTTCCTGCTAGTATAGCTGGTGGAGGGTGTGGCCTCTTCACAATTACATCTTGTATCCCAGTTGCCAGGATCCAGTTCCTGGATCAAGAACTTTGTGCATGCTCACCCATATCCTCATCACCTGATGGTTAGACTACTGCAATTCACTGTCCATTGAGTTGCTGTTGAAGACCATTTAGAAGTTTCAAGTGATGTAACAACAGCTGCCTATGTTGTTATGGTCAGATCAAAATTTGCCCACCTACCACTGCTGTTCTGCAAGCTGCATTAGCTGCTTAGCCAGTTACCTTACCTTGGTGCATGCTCACCAAACTGGTTGTTAAACCGGTAGAATCCCACCACTACATTCTGTAGACCACTTATGGGAATTGATCAGAAGCTTTAATAAATAAGCAAATAGTGAGTGAGTGAGTGTATGAATGTATGTATGTATGTGTGAATGGCTTTCTTTCCTGCCTCAGATTTTTGTAATTCAGATATCATATTCATTAGAATAGATAAGAAGGCATGGTATATAAACAATGAATTGTTGGAGAATAAGAGCAAAATCTAAGTTACATACTAAATTAGGTCACCACTTCCCCTATGCAAACTGTTGTTCTCTATAATTTCCTCAGTTATGAATCCCTTGAAATGAATGTGAAATATATACTATAACACTGGCAGCTAACCTTTTTGCACTCGCGTGCTCACATGCCAGCACCCAGCACTTCCTTCCTTCCCATTGAACACCATGCAAGGTTGAGCTCTGAAAATCAGTAAAAAAAATAGAATAAGAAATTCAACTTTTCCTTTTTATAGTCAATGCAAGCATTTTCCTGCCAAAGATTTCTTATGCTTTCTAATCAAGCAATGTCATTGTTTGTTTCAGTTTCATCACCAGTAGAGAGGCATTAATTCAGGTAAAATGTCAAGCATTACAAGTCCACAGAAAGAGGTTAACTTATCATTAATTATTAAAAATAAATTACAAATTATAAGAAAATTGGAGCATAATATCCAGCGTACTCAGTTCTCTTCTGGAAATAAAACTAGAATACCAGCATTTGCTTTTTGGAAAGCCATCTCTTTGAATAGATGGTCAATAAATAACAGGGAAGGGATCCATCTATAGGCCAGTCAAAATCTGCTGAACTGGTTTCTATGCAACAGCGATTCTCTTTTATCACTTGCTTGAGATGGCCATTTCTTCTCACTAAGTTGCCTTTTCTAGTGCATCGTAAATAGCCTTTATATCGACTAAGTGAACAGGTATAGACCATTCCAATCGCACAATTCACCTGGCATTGTTTATTCACATACATTAGTCACTTTCTGCTCCTATTCTGCACATTATATGGCAGAATAATAAGCAGGTAATGGCAGGGCTCAAAGAAGAAAGTATGTGTTGTGTCTTATATAGCTATATATAACTTTGAACTGAGATGTCATTTCGATTAAGAGTCTCTATTAAGTCTCATTTCAGTTAAGAGTCTCTATTGCTGAAGCCACTCACTTTGTTCCAGTGGAAAGAGTGGTTCCTATGGTTCCTGTGTGTGCACAAAAAGTTATTCCCGTTGACATAAAGGGTCTGAACAAGGCCCCTTCTTGACAATTTGTCTCCTCTGTTAAAACAAACAAACAAACAGATTCTAGAAAGAGTGCAGAGAAGAGCCACAATGATGATTAGGGGACTGGAGGCTAAAACATACAAAGTGTCAGCGTTCCAACTAACCCACTCCAAACCAATAAAATCCAAGTCAAACATTTCCTCAAAATTTCATATTATTAGAGTTGTCATATTGGCACATCTGGGAAAACCCGAATCAGAGAATTCTGGGTTTTCCCTTCCCAAAAGAAAATCAAAGATCCATCCCTGCACCCATCAGTCCATCACATGGCTTAATCAAATGTTCTTACCAACTGGAGACATTCCTCCAAACACTCCTCTCCAGGTGCAGGGCAACATGTCCTTGACTCTCTGAGAAAGAATGTTGTTGTTTCTAATCTTCTACCTCACTATGAAATCCGCCCTCCCAAATTCCCAGGCACTGAATGTGGCAACCTCGAAGCTTCCAAGTAAAAAATAGCTTCCAAGGCTGACATAAAGAACAGTTACTGTAATTGGGTATGTCTAGTTTAATGAAAAGAAGGATAAGGGGTGACATGAGAGCAGTCTTCCAATATCTCAGGGGCTGCCCCAAAGAAGAGGGAGTCAAACTATTCTCCAAAGCACCTAAGGACAGGACAAGAAGCAATGGGTGGAAAGTAATCAAGGAGGGAAGCAACCTGGAACTAAGGAAAAATTTCCTGACAGGGAGAAAAATTAATCAATGGAACAAATTGCCTCCAGAAGTTGTAAATACTGCAACACTGGAAGTTTTTAAGAAGAGATTGGATAACCATTTGTCTGATATGCTATAGGGTTTCCTGCCTAAGCAGGGGGTTGGACTAGAAGACCTCCAAGGTCCCTTCCAACTCTGTTAGTCTATTCTAATTTTTTTTTAAAAAAAACCACAAAACTGT